ACGTATTTCTATGATGATAAGGCATTGCGCGTATTTCTATGATGATAAGGCATTGCGCGTATTTCTATGATGATAAGGCATTGCGAGACATTCTATGATGATAAGGCATTGCGCGTATTTCTATGATAATAAGGCATTGCGAGACATTCTATGATGATAAGACATTGCGCGTATTTCTAAAATGATAAGGCAATGCGCGTATTTCTATGATGATAAGGCATTGCGCGTATTTCTATGATGATAAGGCATTGCGCGTATTTCTATGATGATAAGTCAATGCGCGTATTTCTATGATGATAAGGCAATGCGCCTATGATGATAAGGCATTGCGCATATTTCTCTGAAGATAAGGCATTGCGCGTATTTCTATGATGATAAGGTATTGCGCGTATTTCTATGATAATAAGGCATTGCGCGTATTTCTATGATGATAAGGCATTGCGCGTATTTCTATGATGATAAGGCATTGCGCGTATTTCTATGATAATAAGGCATTGCGAGACATTCTATGATGATAAGGCATTGCGCGTATTTCTATGATAATAAGGCATTGCGAGACATTCTATGATGATAAGGCATTGCGCGTATTTCTATGATGATAAGTCAATGCGCGTATTTCTATGATGATAAGGCAATGCGCCTATGATGATAAGGCATTGCGCATATTTCTCTGAAGATAAGGCATTGCGCGTATTTCTATGATGATAAGGTATTGCGCGTATTTCTATGATAATAAGGCATTGCGCGTATTTCTATGATGATAAGGCATTGCGCGTATTTCTATGATGATAAGGCATTGCGCGTATTTCTATGATAATAAGGCATTGCGAGACATTCTATGATGATAAGGCATTGCGCGTATTTCTATGATAATAAGGCATTGCGAGACATTCTATGATGATAAGGCATTGCGCGTATTTCTAAGATGATAAGGCATTGCGCGTATTTCTAAGATGATAAGGCATTGCGCGTATTTCTAAGATGATAAGGCAATGCGCGTATTTCTATGATAATAAGGCATTGCGAGACATTCTATGATGATAAGGCATTGCGCGTATTTCTAAGATGATAAGGCAATGCGCGTATTTCTATGATGATAAGGCAATGCGCGTATTTCTATGATGATAAGGCAATGCGCGTATTTCTATGATGATAAGGCCTTGTGGGGCATTATATGATGATAACGCATTGCGCATATTTCTATGATGATAAGGCATTGCGAGACATTCTATGGTAAGGCATTGCGCGTATTTCTATGATGATAAGGCATCGCGAGACATTCTATGATGATAAGGCATTGCGCGTATTTCTAAGATGATAAGGCAATGCGCGTATTTCTATGATGATAAGGCATTGTGCGTATTTCTATGATGATAAGGCATTGCGCGTATTTCTATGATAATAAGGCATTGCGAGACATTCTATTATGATAAGGCATTGCGCGTATTTCTATGATGATAAGGCGTTGCAAGACATTCTATTATGATAAGGCATTGCGCGTATTTCTATGATGATAAGGCATTGCGCGTATTTCTATGATGATAAGGCATTGCGAGACATTCTATGATGATAAGGCATTGCGCATATTTCTATGATAATAAGGCATTGCGAGACATTCTATGATGATAAGACATTGCGCGTATTTCTAAAATGATAAGGCAATGCGCGTATTTCTATGATGATAAGGCATTGCGCGTATTTCTATGATGATAAGGCATCGCGAGACATTCTATGATGATAAGGCATTGCGCGTATTTCTAAGATGATAAGGCAATGCGCGTATTTCTATGATGATAAGGCATTGCGCGTATTTCTATGATAATAAGGCATTGCGAGACATTCTATGATGATAAGGCATTGCGCGTATTTCTATGATGATAAGGCGTTGCGAGACATTCTATGATGATAAGGCATTGCGCGTATTTCTATGATGATAAGGCATTGCGCGTATTTCTATGATGATAAGGCATTGCGAGACATTCTATGATGATAAAGCATTGCGCGTATTTCTAAGATGATAAGGCATTGCGCGTATTTCTAAGATGATAAGGCAATGCACGTATTTCTATGATAATAAGGCATTGCGAGACATTCTATGATGATAAGGCATTGCGCGTATTTCTAAGATGATAAGGCAATGCGCGTATTTCTATGATGATAAGGCAATGCGCGTATTTCTACGATGATAAGGCCTTGTGGGGCATTATATGATGATAAGGCATTGCGCATATTTCTATGATGATAAGGCATTGCGAGACATTCCATGATGATAAAGCATTGCGCGTATTTCTATGATAATAAGGCATTGCGAGACATTCTATGATGATAAAGCATTGCGCGTATTTCTAAGATGATAAGGCATTGCGCGTATTTCTAAGATGATAAGGCAATGCGCGTATTTCTATGATAATAAGGCATTGCGAGACATTCTATGATGATAAGGCATTGCGCGTATTTCTATGATGATAAGGCATTGCGAGACATTCTATGATGATAAAGCG